AAGCTTCAACTCTTAACTCTTCAGAAATTGGCAGCTCGGAAGCAAATGCTTTTTATCTTCTGGTCTTGGAGGGACATAGCAGGGGAGAAAAAGCCACCGCTCTTTTCCAGAACTAGGAAAGTTCGAGCATCAGCTTCACCATGCTGCTGTCAGTAGTTGACCGCCTTCAATCCTCTTATTCCGTACTGCTCTGGCGCCAAACCTTGCCTGGGGAACCGCGCCCTGAAGTGTGAACTTGCTGGTCGTCACATCTACTCTGTCTGTTTCGTATCATGTGCTGGGTGAAGTCAATGGCAATCTCTAGATGCGAAGGTACAGAGAAATGACAGCCGCAGATGGAGCGAGTAGCGAACGACGGCTTGCATACGGAAAACACAAGTACGGGTTCAAGTCCCATCTTAAGTTTGGCTTATAACTCGACAAGCTTGTGAGACCTTCGGATCGCGACCTGCGTCGGAAAACACCAGTTAACAAAACATCAACTGAAAACTGTTCTGAATAGCTTGGCAAAGCCAATCGACGCATAGTTGGTAGAAGTTTCAATTTTGGGGCGAACCCAATTTCATCCCCTTCAGGACCCTTCACGAGGACCAGCAAAAGGGTGGCAGCCTAATAGAGGCATGTAGACGTGTCGGTTCCACCACTCTTAAAACTCGACCGAGTTTCCCAATAGTACTACCTCAAAGTTGGGCTGACACAAAGGCACGAAGGGTTGAGTGCGTCAGGACTGCTTCACGATTAACATGTTCCCCTATGACTGCTCGGTCTGCATTCTACTCGAAAATGAAACCCATCTTAACAAATGGAGCATAACACTCCAGACTCCAGACTCACTGATAGAGCTTTACGACAAAAAACAAAAACATTCCAAACTCCAGTATGCTTCATTTTGTTCCCTTCCTCCTGTACAACGAGTGATGTGGCAGATCTTCTGAAGAATGTCGGCAGATGAGACTGATGGAGAAGCACCACGTTCAGTGAAATCCACTACCGGTGCGACCAGAACTGGCACTTCAGTAACAACTGGCCGAACCAAAGGAGGTACGACTACAACGGGACTAACTACGCAAGGAGACGAGGGTGACGAAGGTGAGTCAGGTCATGCCCTGGCACCATGCCAAAACGACAAAGCTGAACCTAAACTCGATTTCAGAAAAGTCCGTGAAGGTATTGGTAGCAAAGATCCGCAATTCTGATGGGTCACTCGAAACAATCAGGCTGTCAAGCAATCTAGCCCACGAGCTGGTTACTGGCAGTAAGTCTTTGAGTTAGTCGTAGAAGGGAAGGTTGAGACATCACTAACAAGAAAGCAGGGACCCATTCCATGGGAGAGTTCTCAAGGCTTTTGGTGTCACCACAAGTACCGGAATTGGGAGAGTTACAAGAAGTAATTGTGAGCCAGAAATTTTGGCTCAAACCCAAAAGAGCAAAAGGAGCTCCGGATAAGAGACTGCTCCTCACAAGATGCGAAAACCACCTCTTCCCGTAGGTGTGAGTTCTCCGGAACTGGCCTACCGTGGTCGCATTGAAGAAGCACCCTCTCCTACAGGAGCGCGAGTGGGCATTACTTCCAGAATGTAGGCAGTACTGTAATAGCACACGATCTGCGAAATTTTTCAGTGTGTGCCATGTTCATGTTCGGTCTGTTTCTGATAGTTGCTATAGTCGAGATTGTTGTGGGCTCACTAAACGTGGACAACTGCCCAGTGAATAGAATGATTCCCATTTGGCTCATCGTCTCTGGTGGAATCAGCTGCTTGCGATACGTTCTCGCCATCGGCCTTGCAATTGTGGTCAGTTATAATTTACTTTTGTTTTATTTTAAACTGGTACTGATAAATTTAATGATTCAGGCGCAAGCGGCCGCATTGCGTTGGATAGATAACTTGGACAATTTCTAGATTTTCAAAGATTTTTTTACTGGTGGGTTCCTCACTCATCCGCAATGCAGCCGCTCGCTTTCGTAGTCTAGAGGGAATGATTTCCGTAGAGGACAACTCTCTAGCAGCATGCACTGCCCTGCACTGCACTCTGGCCATTCAGTGGCCCAATTAGGATGGGCCGTTATTTTGGCACCAACTAGTAATATGGGTACAAGAATGAACTACCGCTACAGCAGGGTCTATTTTAAAAGGATACTTCGGAGTTAATCCATAAGTAAATGAATACAGAGTTGGGTGATGAAGAGAATTAGAATCTTACCTGTTGTACAACCTCATCAACTGAGGAATACAAAGAATAGATATCGATCCAAGGCGCTGGAAAAATTGAAGCCGCAGGGGACCTGGCACTTCCGATTTTGGAAGTTTAAGTGCCATAGGTAGAGGGAATGTGACGACTAATGGTACATACATAGTCAGTAAACAACTTTCTGTGGAATGACGAACGTCTTCCCTAACACCAGTATCTTTTTAGTTGGAGAATATGTTCAAAAGATGCCTGTAGATAACTATAAACGTAGATAAGTAAAGAAGTAGATAAGTATAAACACCACGAATAGCAAGAGCATCCTTTACATTGCCTCCAATTCTATGATTTTATTACCAGCTCATTACTACTGTGCTTTCAAAAGTAAGAATAGCCGGAGAACGGTAGACTCGTCTACCACACAGCTTATCAAAATTTTTGTAAAGATTCGAGTAGAAAGTCTAAGTCAATGATAAAATTTGGCTAACATAATATTACCATTCACCAGCCGAATTCAGCATAAAAGTGGTGGCTCTGTGGGTTCTCTGCGTGCAATGTTAGAATGTCTTTTTTCGATATTTTGGGTGATTTGGTGAGTTTCCTCCTGTACTTCGAGCTTTTCTTTATTTTACGTCACCGGATCATTTTGTATTTTGCTTCCTGTCTTCTGGAAACCTCAATTGATTCCGCGAACAGGGTATATACGAACACCTCGGGTGACAGTGGTAAGGGAAAAGTCAGAAGTCGAAAAAGGAAGCGAGAAGACTTTTAGAAAAATTCAGATTTTCCATGTTTTAGGCTCATTTTCGGTACGTTCTGGGTGTATAGTGTAGCTGGTATTGTGACGTTCGAGCAACATGAGAGCAATTTGTACTGCAATCATCTCACTTTCGTCCTTGCCTTCATCCTTATTACCGTTACCTACGTTATTATATTCACATGGATATTCTGTTGCTGTTGTTTCATTTGCTGTGTAGCTCCATTTATTGCAGCTCAAAATCTATCTAGAAGAAATACTGAAAGAGAAATGGGGTAAGTTCCTTAATGGCAAAGACCTGTTCCCGGTGATGGACCTCAACGATTGAGCTCTAAAGGTTCACTTCACGATAATTTGGGGTATCAGTTGGAGAAGAATTATGGAATGGAAGTAATATTCTAGAATAGTCCAGAAACTTGTTGTTGGTAAACTCAGTAAACAAA